GATTGGAACTTAGAGCATATATAGGTCCTTTTCTTATAACATCTATGAAATAATATGGAGGGAAGATTCCATTTCAGCAAATAATAGGGACATCTAAGTCCTTTTTGGATTTTTTAATTTTGGAACCTGAATATCCATTGCAATTTCCTGTTGTACTTAATTCTTAGGTGCACATCCACAATGACCAACTCAGGGACTTGGAAACTGGAAATTTTCAAAGCCAACCAAAAAGGACATTGCTTTAACTATAAAGAAGAGAGAAATACTGCCTTTCTAGAAAAACCTGGGGTTTATGCTGTATCTCTTTCACAGCTGACAACTGTGGAAAATACATGGTACATACATTGGTCCACAGACAGAATGCTGACAAGTTGTTTAGCAAAGTACCAGTGGGATATCACAAAATATGGATACACCTTTAGAGTTGACTAGGAAAGTTGTGGAGTCTAATTTCAACCTTTTGTGGACTCAAACCATTTTCCTTAGGTGTTGTGACAATCATAGGGTATTATTTATTTGGGAAGCTCTCCTCACTTCCACCTTGTGCCTCTGCAATACATCCATGTATAAGCTTTCTAACTTGTGGATTGCACTTCACCTAAATTTTTCAACCACAAAGTCATACTACCCTAGTTGTCCTATTTTATAACATGCCACAAGCTCATTCCATAAAAAAATTTCAGAGTGCCATTGCATGTTTTGTTTTTGTTTGCATTTTATTTCAAATTCTATTCTTTCTCATACTCATGAACTTTGAATCCCATTGAAGTTTAAATGTTTGGAATATTTAAATTTTGAGTGTTACAGGCCTACTGCATGTAGTGACATTCATTAGCCTAATGATGTGATTTTCTATTGTTGAAAGTACTTGTGTTATAAAAAAGATTTTAACACCATCTGAGAGTGTATAAATCTACTATTATATAAAAAAAGAGAAAAGATTCTTGCACTGTAGAATTTGTCATTGTGATCTGATCACATTTTTCCTCAATTACTTGTTCATGTATCTCAGGGCTTCTTAAACTATGGGTCGCGACCCCATTTGGGGTCGCTTAGCAAAATCTTGGGGTTGCAAGATTTTAATGCAAAATATTGAAAATAATTTGTGAGAGTTTGAAAATGGTACACTTTGTGTCATAGGTTTCGTGAGTTGTGCTTTGTGTCACTTCTGGTGCAGTGAGAAAACGATTCAGCAACACTGATTGTAGTGTGAACTAGTGTAGTATTGTTGCTTTTCAGTGTATTCAGTTGTCTCTGTTCCATTGTAACACAAGAGTGAACTGTGGTAGTATACCATTATTGTTTTTGCAAATTTGTATACTGTATATCTTTGTGATTTTTTTCGCAACCCAAAAAAATATAAAATAATCATAAATGGGGTCGTGAATAAAAAAAGTTTAAGAAGCCCTGATGTATGTAAATGGTTTGTGATTTGATTTGAATTAGACTAATGTTGCTTTTAATCTGTTCCATTTTAGAACAAGTTATAAACCTGAAGCAAATCTCAGATGGAGATTGAAAACATTCGTTTTATGCATAAAATATTTCTACTGGATCAAACTATGGTTGTGTGTTGTAATGTACATATTTATCTTCAAAAACAGAGTTAACAGTATTGATTTTCAAGTTAATAATGAACAAAAAATGTTTTTTATCCTTTTAGAAAAATATTAAAGCATTTTCTCAATTTCTTACTTGTTATCAGAATTTAAATTACATTAATGATATTTATGCAAAGCCTATTTTTCTCTCTCTACTTATCATCTAACTATAATATGATATTTCTAAATGCTTTTCCTTCTGTTATCAGGAATATGATAACTCTTATTAAACCAAGTCTAATTGACTGTATAATGACATTCAGCAATAATTACTTTCACAGTTTTGTACACTAGCATTTTTCCAGTAGTTTTCAGATCCCAGTCAGCAGGCTGCTAACATAAATCCTCTAATTAGTACCAATTTTCAGTATTTCCTTGATATAATGCATTAAAATACTGAAGTATTGAAAGAAAAGAAAATTAAATAACATATTTATAGTCATTTTTATATATCTGAAAGAAATATCAAGATAATATTGTGTGGTGCTTAGTATTTCCATCTAAAATTGTGTGGTGTTATTTAAATGAGCTTCTCTGAATTTAACAGTAAAACAGAAATTGAATCAGAATTTACTAAATGAATTTATATTACAAAGTAATAGCACAGAAATTAATAAGTAAATGTTTTACTTATTGATTAAATGTTTAATTATGCAGGAAAATTGTTTACACAAGTTTTTCATTGAAATTTTCCATTACTCTCAAAAGATAATCAAAGATTGAAAAGATTATTGTATGTAATTGAATTTTAGTTCTCCAAAAATATTATCAATTGATATTATTACTTGAAAACTTATAATATTGTAAGTTCTATTTTTATGGTATATTTTTTCAAATATATTTTGTAATGAGGGAAGCAGAAATGTTTTTGAATTTTAAATATATTTATATTAATTTTTCTATAATTTCTCATCAGAAGACAGTTTTTATTTTCATCAAGACATTGTTTCTGATTTAAACACTATAAAATAAATATGTATCTGTTATCATTAAATTAGATATTATGTCCATGAAATTGCAAGCTGCCAATTTTTTTTGCATTTTTTTTATTTTGTTTTGAAAATAAGTTTCTAATGAAGGAAAATAATTAAAAACTAAAAGAATATAATTAACATTATATTGATGAGAGAGAATTCTGAAAGATTTAGCAAATACAGTATTAATACTTGATATTGATTTGAGAAACAATTCACTTTTTATAATTAAATTATTTTTGATAATCTGAAACTGTGTTGTGACTCTTCTTTGATTCTTAAACACTATGTAGTGTAATAAATTCAAACACTTGGCATTCTATTTAAATAAAATAAAATCATTATTTAGTTTACAGCTACTGCACTGACATTTTTTTTTAATTATCTATAGATAATAAATTCAAACACTTGGCATTCTATTTAAATAAAATAAAATCATTATTTAGTTTACAGCTACTGCACTGACATTTTTTTTTAATTATCTATAGATAATGATATACTAATTGCTATAAATTTTTTTACTGATCTAAGCCATCTTAAATATTCTATCATTAAATGTGAGAATTATTAACAGTACTTAAAATGTATTTTACAAATATAAAAATAAAAACAAAAATGCTTTTCTTTAATTTGGAATTTTGCCACATTCTAATAGTATTTGAAAATGAAAATTATTTTATGAAATTATTAATGCATTAAAGATGACATTAATGTTAACAAATACAAATATTAAATAGTAATAAGTTTAAACAAAGTTAAATAATTTATTACTGTAGAAGTTCCTTAATAATTGTGCTGTAATTGATTTGATTGTCTATGAAGCAAAGTTTTCTTCAATCCTTAAGGATTACCAGGAATATTTTACTTTTATCCTAGTATTTATATGGTAAGTATAATTCCTTCATGGACATTGTAACCAAAAATAAAGCATAAATAAAGAGATGGTGGATCTGGAATTCTCAGTAGCTTCACTGCCATCATGATCTATTTAACCATTCATGTTGATGGTTGTATTGCTATAAATAGTAATAAAGATATGATACTGTTGAATGACAAGTCACCCTTGTGACTGTTTTCATATGCTAATTTATTCATTTTGTATTTGAATTAGTTGCATTTTTTTGTGTTTTCAGATTTCATAATTTGCTTTCTAGTAAGTAAATTACTAAAATGTTTGATTATAAAGCAAAATCTATGATTATTATATTTACAAATGTAATCTTTTTATATGACTTCTGTGCATTGGCTCATTACTAAAGAATTAACCTGCTCAATGGCTTATTCAGATGGAAGATAGTTCAAAAACAAATTTTTTTAACTGTTATTTGTTTTCTTATGTAGATTAATAAGATACTGTTCCATTTTATGTTGAAAGATATTTAATTTAATATAATATTTTATAAAATAAACTCTGGAAGATTACAGTTCATGTGTGTAACTAAACATGTCAGAGATAAGTATACTATTACCACTGAATAAACTTTAAGTTAGTAGTATTGTGACCAAATTATGATGAGGGAAGAGAGAAACATACTGATAAATTTATTCCTGTCTGTTCTATAAATATACTTGCACTGGGGGTGCAGGTATCTTTATAGAACAGACAGGATCAAATGTGCAATCATCACACATGTTTAGAAATTCAAAATATAAATAACAATTAATTAAAACATCTTAACAGAAACTTATGTGAATTAATATAAAACTGAGGCTAACAAAACAATGACAGTTGATAAAGACTCTTAGAAGGCAGAACTTGTATATCCAAACAGAGTAAAAAATTATTGTTTGATCTTTTTTTTAATAAAATGGGTGAATAAAGTAAGGGACAATTTTAGGAAATATGTTTTCTTAAAATTGGGCCCTTATTTAAAAAAATGAACTAAATAAAAAAAAATTCTTGTTTTTTAACAAAGCATTGGAACTTAATAATTTTAATACATTTGTTAAACTCTAGTATCAAGGTTTACACAGCTTTGTAATCTGAAAAGATGTTGGTGAGGCTGTTCTCTTGAAATTTGGAGATCCATAAGATTGTTTTAAAGAGTGCATATACATCTGCCTGGAATATAGATGTAGCTGAGATACTTACATTGGATATTGAATAGAAGATGGGAATTTTGGTTTTGTAAATAGTCCTGAATAAACAAGATTCTTATTTTTAGAGCTATCAGTGAAATTGGAGACATTTGTTTTGGTAGATAGATACAATTGAAAAATCATTTCCTTTTGAGTTGAAAATAAATAAATAAAAAACCTTTAAGAATAAACTGTTCACCTGTATGATCTTTAAGGAATTGAAGAGAAATTTATTTTCATATATATTGTATTAAATTCAGTTTAAGAATAAAACATACATATATATTATGATTATTATTATTTTTTATGCATAATATATAACTTGTTTTTCTTATTAATTTTACAGTAGAAGTCGTCAAGGAAGTCTCACTAATTCATTACATGTTGCTAGTCCTTCTGTCTCCCCCCTTAGTTCACCAAAACCTACACCAAGAGGAACACCTGATGAAAGTCCTTTAAATACTCCTCCTGGCTCACCAAATATTAACCAGCCTTACTGGAAATCTCGATTGAACACTATTAAAAGTAGTTTTCTTGGAAGTCCTAGATTTCATCGTAGAAAATTACAAGGTAATTCAATTTAATTTTGTTGATATATTAGTTTTTTACAGCATTTCTTATTCTTGTTTATATAATATAACAGGAATATTATGTGAATATTATATTATTAAAATTCCAAAAACAGTATAAGCAGTTAAAGATCTATAATTTGTATAATTAATTACAATAGATTATTATAAACTAGCAGGTGAGCCCGGCGTTACTCAGGCAAAAAGTAACAATAGCGAAGATTAATATTATTAGATTATAACCGATCTTACTTGTTTTACTGGGTGCAAGAATTGATTCACCCTCTTCCGAGACTAATTAGAGAATTTTTAAATGGGTCTAAAAATATGTTTGATTTCCCACAAAAAACCTCATCTAAAATAGTACGGTAAAATCTGAATTCAGGATAAAGCTTAGCCTCTCCCTATCCCCCATAAGGGATTTTGGAAAATCCATTCTGTGTGTATGTTCTTATGATGTACCCTAACTGTGTACTAAATTTTAATTTTCAGCGTCTAATCATTTGGGCTCTGAGATTATTATTATTATGTTGTGTTTAGTGGGTTACACTTGATTCATACCAGTGGCTGTGTACTATGCCAGACCAGAGTCAAGGCATAGCAACCAAAAACTAAAATTAAATAAGAGTGTCAGTGTCTGTATTCAGAAATTTCCTAACAATGTGGCATGTATTCGATATAGCAGTCGTCTGTAATGTGATATATGTATTTCTATTCAATTGTAATATTCCCAGGCTTTTGTATAGTGTGTGTGCTATCACACCTGTACAGAAGATAACGACAGGTACAATAAGCACTCTTTCCATCCTCTACAGATGCCTTATTTCGTGGGCGAGTTCTGTGTACTTGATAATTTTTTCAGTGAATGTGTTTTGTATATTGTGAGTGTTTGGAATGGATATGTCTATAATGTATGTGATTTTATTGTGTTTGTCAATGAGTATGATGTCTGGTCTGTTGTGGTAAATTGTTTTATCTGTGATTATAGCTCTGTCTTAGTACATTTTGTACGTGTTGTTTTCCAATACTGTCTGTGGAATGTATTTGTAGTATGGTTTGTGGATGTCTAATAATTTGTGTTTCTTTGCAAGCTCTTGGTGTATTATATTTGCTACTTGATTATATCTGTGTAAATAATCTGTCTGTGCCAAGAACTTGCAACCAGAAGTAATGTGTTGTATAGTTTCTGGCATGATGTGACATTTTCTGCATGTGTCATTTGTGAGTGTTGTATCTTTGAATATGTGTTTTCTGTAGTTTTTAGTATTTATGACCTGATCCTGTATGGCAATCATGAATCCTTCTGTCTCCCCAAAGAGGCATCCTCGATCTAACCAGCTGTTTGACGCAGTTTTGTCAACAAAATCCTGGGCCAGGTCATAAGGATGCCTGCCACGGAGTACCTTTTGAGCCCACGATTGCTTGATGGTGTCTATGCTTTTTATGTGTTGTGTCATGTCTGTTTGATGAGAGTGTAAGTTTAATGGTGTGTTATTTGAGTCTGCTAGAGTTAGTGCTCTATGTAACTGTGATGTTTCTTGTAGAAAAACTCTCGCAGTGACTGTAGTTGTTTGTAGTGAAGGTTAACTATGTCAATCAGGCCATGTCTGCCATCTTTACGTGGAAGGGTTAATCTTTCTGTGGCGTATTTAGGATGATGTTGTTATTCTTAGTAAGTGTTGTTCTTGTTTTCCTTTGGAGTTGCTCGAGATCTGCTGTGTGAGTCCAATGTATAACTCCAAAAGAGTATGTGAGTACTGGGATGACATATGTGTTTATTGCTTTAACTGTGTGTTTTGCATTTAACTGTGTTCTGAGGATAGCGTTTAACATACTTTGGTATTCTTTAATTAATCTTTGCTTTATTTGTGTATGTTCCATTAGTTTGGCCTGTTGGAATCCTAAATACTTGTAAAACTCACCCTCTTCCATGGATTCAATAACGTCTCCATTTCCAATTGCAAAATCTTCTTTCTTCAGGATTCCTTTTTCTATGTGAAGTGTTTTGCATTTGTCTAAGCCAAACTCCATTTGTATGTCCTTGGTGTATGAATGTGTGATTTGTAGGAGCTGCTGAAGTTGTTTTTGTGTGGATGCATAAAGTTTTATGTCGTCCACGTACATGAGATGTGACAGCGTAAACTGTGTTGTTTTTTCATGTCTGATGTTGTAGCCATATTGCATGTTGTTTAACATGTTGGATAATGGGTTAAGGGCTAGGCAGAACCAGAGAGGACTCAAGGAATCTCCTTGAAAAATTCCTCATCTAATGAATATTTTGTTTGTTTGTATGGAAGTGTTACTAACACCGAGATGCAGTGTTGTTCTCCAGTGCTGTATAATGTTTTTGAAGAATGCAATGAGTGATGGATGTATTTTGTACATGTGTAGAATATGTAGCAGCCAACTGTGTGGAACACTGTCGAATGCTTTTCTGTAGTCTATATATGCCATGTGTATGTTTCTGTGTTGTTTGTGTGCTTGCC